GGAGGCAATGATAACTTCCTCAATGGCTCAAGGGGGCGTTTCTTTCAAAAAGGTTAAGAACCACTGGTCTAGAACACCAAGCTGTCATGTATGTTTGAAAAATTCAAGTTGACAGGGCTAGTGGGTCGTGAGGCTGGGAACCGTTGTGAGAAGTTTCTTGTAAATCCGCCCAGTCAATCGACTAGATGGGCGGGGCATAAGTGCAATCAGTCAATCGATCAGTCAATCAATCAATCAATCAACCCTTCTGAACCAAGTGGCAAAGAGGTGATCTGTAATTGCTTCTGGCCTTCTCGTCAGTTGCCCTTCCTGGTACTTCCAATTAGGTACATTTACGACAGTTGTTCTTTGATGCTCGGCTTTTATTTTCAATAGACTATGAAGAGAGAGCGAAGTCAAATCAGCTGCATTACAGAAGAGGAAGGTTGGGTTACATCACATTTTTTCATGTTTACTTAATTTTGTTTTTAATTAAGAGAGAGCATCCTCAAGATCAAAACCTCCAAAAGAAAAACCACCTGCCAGATCAACATCTCCACAGGATCACAGAGCCACTGTTGGTGCAATTTCGTGGGATCCAGCGGTGCTTTCTTCACCAGGGAAAGGCAGAAAGTATTTATAGCCCAAGTCATCAGGTTCCTCAATAGATACGTCAGGAGTTACGATAGGTTCCCAGGGTTTTCCTGGACACTTCGGTTCTGGCAGATGTGGCACTGTATCAAAGAGAGACAATACATGCTGAGAGATGTTGGTGATGATGGGAGAACAACAGGCAACCCCAGGAAATCTTTGTTTGGTCTTATTGCTACAATGCCATCTTCTTGCTCCTTTACATCTTCCTGAGACACCCCCAAACTATGATTTAACTCACCTCCAGTTTCATGTTCGCTTTCGGTAGCGGGTACCTCTTCATCCATCCTAGCTAATCGGAAAGGGGTAAAACCTGGAGGTCTACCTAAAAACATCTGAAAGGCAATTATAATATATTTACTTCCTTGTAGTTTTCCAACACACCCTGAGAGTTGTGGCTCTGTAATATCATGCAATAATTCCACGTGAAATAGCAATTAAAATAAGAAAAATCACTCTCCAATCAGCTTAGACCAGAAAAAAACTTGTTCTCTCTCCACGCGCGCATAGCAATTAAAATAAGAAAAATCACTCTCCAATCAGCTTAGACCAGAAAAAACCTTGCTCTCTACACACACACACACACACACACACACACACACACACAGAGAGAGAGAGAGAGAGAGAGAGAGAGAGACATAGAAATTTACTGGGAGTATGGAACTGGCAAAACCATTCCTTAATTATCTCATTCACTTTGAAAGTGAGACAGAGACAGAGACAGAGACAGAGCCATAGAAATTTACTGGAAATATGGAACTGGCAAAACCACTCTTTCATTATCTCATTCACTTTGAAAGCTCCTTTAGGGTCACTACAAGTCAGTTTTGACTGGACGGCACATGGCAATTATTATGTGCAGTATCTAGAGGAGGGAAGAGGGAAGAGGGAAGAGGTGTATTACCATACCGCTTTTTCATGTCGTTCATCTGCACATATCATTTGAGTGTCAAATTTATCCATCCCAGCTTCCTTAAAAGCAACGAGAACACATTTGGCAGAAAATTGTGCCTAAAACAAAATTGAGCACATATCCATATATAGTAACAATTAAACAAAATATGACATATAATTATTTGAGTGCTTGTTTTGAACATTGGGAGCTTTATACAGTGGTGCCCCGCATAGAGAGGTTAATCCGTTCTGGATTAACCTTCGCTATGGAGAAACATCGCTAAACAGAACGGAAAAGCCCAAAGTTCCAAATGGGCCCAAAACTCACCGTTCTGCGATGTTTCCCCATGTTCCGGTGGCCATTTTGGGTGTTCTGGGGGCTGTTTTGGGTATTCCGGTGGCCATTGGGTGTTCTGGCGGCCATTTTGGGTGTTCCGGGGACCATTTTGGGTGTTCCGGTGGCCATTTTGGAACCACCGAACAGCTGTTCCCCCATCGCAATGCGATAAAACGTCGGTATGCGATCGCATTAGCAATCGCAAAATCCACATCGCTATGCGGATTCATTGTTAAACAGTGTGCTCGTTATGCGAGGGACCACTGTATATAGAAGTAGATTATAATTTGGTTTGTTCTTTCTTTTTAAAGAAACCTATATTTATAAACAGCTTCTTTTATAGGTTCCAGACATAAATTCTGCACAGCATGAGTAAAATTTCATTAAAAAATTTCTTAAACTTTAAAACTGTGGCATCTTTTCATTTTAATCTTAATGTTATAGTTAATGCTAATTATAACTTAACATTAAGTTAATTAGGAACTGAGCAGTGTGTAAAACAATTCATGCCAAATATTGAGGAATCAATATTCTGAAAATATTGAATGCACTAAAGCTTGTTACAACCAGTGAAGCTAACATTGTAAACAAGAAAAATCTAGCCATTACAACCCATAGTCTTTAGTAAAGGAAATAGACACTGAAATCCAGGCAGTGAAAGGGATCCAGAGGATCACATACCATACCTTGTGCATACAGTGGGGTCTTGACTTAAGATCGGCTCGAGTTAAGAACATTTTGACTTAAGAACCACTCTCATAGGAAAATATTGACTTGACTTACATACTTAGATTTGAGTTAAGAACTGAAAAAAAAATGTGGGAGGCAGGGAAAGTGCAAAATTGTGTTTTTTTCGCTTTGCGATGATCAGTTCCCTGCTTCGGGAACTGATTCTCGCAAAACGACAATTTTAAAACAGCTGATCGGCAGTTTCAAAATGGCCACCGGGTTTAAAAAAAAAGGCTCCCTGCTGTTTTCTGGGATGGATTCCTCGCTACACAGGCAGCGAAAATGGCTGCGCTATGGAGGATCTTTGCTGGACGGTGAGTTTCAAGCCCACAGGAACGCATTAATTGGGTTTTAATGTATTTCTATGGGCTTTTAAATTTCGCATTGCGACGTTTTCGTTCTACAGCGATTTCGCTGGAACGAATTAATGTCGTAATGCGAGGCACCACTGTATATGTATATACAAGAATGGATGTGTTATTTCTACAAGAGAACATATGTAACCAATCAGATTGTGTCTAATATCAGCCAACAGGTGCTTAGAGGGATAACTGTCCAATATGAGAAAAAGGGTAAGTTACTACAATGGAACCTCGACTTACGAACTTAATCCGTATTGGAACTGTGTTCGTACATCAAAACGTTCGTAAGTCGAAGCAAATTTTCCCATAGGAATGCATTGAAAACCATGTAATCCGTTCTGCCTATTTTTCGTTCTTATCTAGAGGTGCTGTTCACAAGTAGAGGCATTAGTTCCCATAGGAACTAATGCAAAGCCGGTTAATCCGTACTCGACCACTAGGGGGATAATTTTTTCTTTTTTCTTCTTTTGACCTAAGACGAACTTAGGTCAAAAAAAGGGCAGGGAGGAGGGAGGGAACACTTTCTAAACAGAACACCTTTTAACCCAAGCACTTTTTAAACAAAACCAAGCACCTTTTAGCTTTAAAAAAGGGCAGGAGAACACCTTTTAAACAGAACACTTTTTTGTTCATAAGTTGAAGCTCCATTCGCAAGTCGAAGCAAAATTTTGTGAACGGAGCGGTTCATAAGTCGAAGCAAAATTTTGCGAATGGAGCAGTTCATAAGTCGAAATGTTCATAGGTAGGGACATTCGTAAGTCGAGGTTCCACTGTACTAACATCATCTGCTTTTAGTATGTTTCTAAAGAAGATGTTAGGAAACTGATAAAATGTTCTGAAACTGTTATGAGACATCTGTCAAGCACAAACCAAATCTATGCTACTTAAAATGTTCAGTTACTGTTTGTTTATTCTTCAACATATCTTTAAGTAAACATTCTTAAAGTTTTCTATGACTGATTATTTTACCTACTGGCACATACATATCTATCAAGGGAGAATATTATTGATAATTTGTGTGCTTTTTAAGATTCATACATAATCTGCGTAGTGGCGCTGTGGGCTAAACTGCAGAAGCCTGTGCTGCAGGGTCAGAAGACCAGCAGTCGTAAGATCGAATCCACACGACGGAGTTAGCACCCGTCACTTGTCCCAGCTCCCGCCAACCTAGCGGTTTGAAAGCATGTAAATGCGAGTAGATTAATAGGGACCACCTCGGTGGGAAGGTAACAGCGTTCCGTGTCTAAGTCTCACTGGCCATGTGACCACGGAAAATTGTCTTCGGGCAAAACGCTGGCTCTACGGCTTGGAAACGGGGATGAGCACCGCCCCCTAGAGGCGAACACGACTGGACAAAAATTGTCAAGGGGAAACTTTACCTTTACCTTACATAATCTGCTGTGTTCAAACCCACAAAAATACAGCATCTTGTATAGCCTGCAAAATTATATTTTGCTTAGGTTCAAATGTGCTTTTTCTTCATGTAGGAACAAAATTAGTTCAACAAATGACAGCAGGGAAGACAAATTAAAGCAGCACATGGTGACTGTCTAATTAGAAACACTGCTAGAAAAGCAGAGCTCAGAGTTAAACCAAGGGACTGTGGCTACAATCTAATACAGCAGGGCTTTAGAGAGTGTGGCTCTCCAGATGTTGTTGGACTACAAATCCCATTAGCCCAAGCCAACACAGCCAATGTCAAGGGATAATGGGAGCTATTGTTGCATCAGAAGGCCTATACTTTGCCCTCCCCTACTATGAACATTCACAGTAAATGTTTAACATGTCCTATTAAATGCACTCAGGACTTACTGAGAAGAGATGTATAGAATTGTGCTGGGAAAAAGTTCAGCTCAAAGTTTGACATCATATGGATTAAAAATGAATTTCTCAGAAAGGATTACATATATCATCACCATGCTCCAGAATCCAAATTTAAATTTATGATTGTCCTTTAATATAAGGTGCTTATCTAGGAAGATACTATTCCAAAGAACTTACACTTTCATGTGTAGCCAAACAAATATTTCTCAATGTGTGAAATTTCGGTGTGACACACTTCTTAATAATGAACGTTATTCGATAAATGACTCCATTCACCACCTGAAATTTGAGAAGAAAATTTATTAGCATTTACTTTTAATTTTTATTATAGCAGTTTAAGAGCAGCAGCATCAATATAAAATTAAAATCTATTGTCGTTTGTCAAATTAGCTAGTGATTTTTGTGAAAGGAGCGTACAGAAAGGTGTATGTTTATTCAGATTAACATTAGTAGGCATCCTTCAGTCTCGAGAGGCGATGGTAATGTGTTCTGAATAGAGGTCTTAGAACAGCGTCTAGTGTGGCTGAGGAGGCCAATTCGAGAGTGACCATCCTTTCCACACTGAAGACAAATGCAGTCTGTCCCCTGTCCAGCTCCCTGATTTTGCTGCTTCCAGGACTGCCTCTTTGCCTCAGCCTGCTGGACAAGCATCTCTTCAAATTGGGAGAGGCCGTGATGCCCCGCCTGCCTCCGGGCTGAACGCTCAGATGTCAAGACTTCCCATCTGTTGAGGTCCATTCCTAAGGCCTTCAGATCCCGCTTGTAGATCTCCTTGTATCGCAGCTGTGGTCCCCCTCTGGGGCGCTTTCCCTGCACTAATTCTCCATACAGGCTGGATTATTTTGGAATCTGTCAGCCATTCTTATAACATGCCTGAGCCAGTGTAGACGTTGCTGTTTAGTCATGTATGTTTCAGATTTACAGAGGTGTGTGAATTCCAGTTTGTGTTTTGCCTAATTGTAAAACACTATTAAGTGCAAAGTATTATTATTATTATTGAAACACTCTGAAACCTAGCAAGATAGTATTTCTAAGGTGCATCGTTAAGGTTTTGAATGCAAACCTAGATGTATTGTGGGATTAAGGACCAGCAACACATTAAAGAGAATATATATTTGCCCATTTTCCCTTCCACAGAATTGGAATACAGTTTTCAGCAGTCTTTGACATTAAGCTCATGTTTACTTTTCAAGGAGCAACTGCAAAACTACGGTAAGCATGCTAAATGTAAGATATGCAGATAAGGAAAATTTTAAGCAATGACAAGCCTCTACAACATGGGGAAGTGTCACTTCTAAAAATGTGCCAAGCATGTTGTCTGGTTTGACCTTTTGAGCTCGGCCGGAGCTGCTGTGTGACTTGATGCACTGGCTCTTAACCTTTGTTACTCAGATGTTTTTGGACTGCAACTCCCAGAAGCCTTCACCATCAGCTCTGCTGGCTGAGGTTTCTGGGAGTTGCAGTTCAAAAACACTTGAGTAACAAAGGTTAAGAACCAGTGACTTGATGGATCAACACAGGTGCATCTGACATGACTATTACTGGCTCTCTGACGTCACCTGTGTGATATGCAAATAGATTTGGAGAATAATTCAAATTCAATGTAAAGATTCTGACCTAATTTTGACTTGATTTTCCTAACTAGATTGAAATATCACAATGACATCGAAGCACAAACCTGGGATGTAGCTTTTATGATATGGTCAACTTTATAATAGAAGTTCTCATCAATTTCTGAGTTATACTCTCTCATAGCTGCATCCAACAGATCCTTCACCTCTTCACTGTCAGTTTGAATTGGTATGGGGCAACCAGGACAAACTTTTAAGAAAAAAAAAATTAAAGTTAAAAAAATTTTAAATTAAAAAATTGGATTTTATCAAAATCTAGGTTTATCTTTTATAACCGTTATAAGTCCATATGTACTCCAACTGGATCTTCCGTTAGATTAATTACACTTTGTATTAAAACCTGCAAAAACCCCAGAATCGGCTATCAAAATACTATTAAAAGGCAAGTCTATGAATTCTTCTGAATCAATTGCCTCTCTCCATCTCTATAAATGAAGGGTTTGTGGGCTCTCAGGAAACTCTCCATTGACTTTTAGTTGAAGCATATGGATTCTGTGCTGGTTTGGAGCAGAAGCACCAAGGAATATAGCAAACCCATCCTCCCACTCCTCTATCAGCAAAGCTGAAGAGTAAGAGTCACTACACAATGGGAAAAAAGCAAATTGTTCCACTTTGAATTCTTATTCAGGACATTGGGTTTCCCTGGATGAATTTACTTTATCACACCACACAGAAATCAGCACAGAGAGAGGAAGAAATTGACAGTCAACCCTTGTTTGTATCTTCTTAAGACACCTTCTGTTGCCATTATTCAAATTTGAAGAGGTATGGCTATATTAACAAGCTGCAAACAACAGATGGTTGCCAACATTCTTCTCTCTCTCTCTCTCTCTGAAGCTATCTCACTGGCTAAACCAATGCTAATGTGTCTGATGGCCAAAAAGGTAGAAGCCCCAGGGATGGAAGAAAAATGTTCAGATTGCGGGGAGGATGGTGGGCTGATTTGCATTGACTTTTATGTTGTGTTGTCAACAGAAAATAATATAGAATGTGACCACGCCAAGACGAGAGCAATTATTTGTCTATGGAGACTCCTCTAACTTTAGGTGTCACCCTGGGGAAGAACAATCAACTACCTCCAAATTAGCAGCATTCAATAAGAAATGTCCATCAGTATCTGAAAGGCCACATCTCCTCCAGCCCTGTGCTCAGACTTTCTGAAATACTAGAAAAAGAAAAGTGACCCCACAATGGAATACATAAAGAGTGAAATTGCTAGTGCACTGCCAGTGTTTAGGAGTTCTGGAAGCAGTAATGACAAACCTGCGGGCCTGCACTTCAGGTCAGCATCAACAAGTGTGTTTGTGAGGTCCACATAGGCCTTGACTGTACAGATATAATCATTCTGAAAGGAGACAAGAAGTGTGTCAAGGGGAGGGGGGAGCATGGAGAAAGAAGCAGCAGCCATAGAATCTTGATCACATAAGTGGATACAGCTTTTAGTGTTTACACGTTGAAATGGTTGAACTTGGAATTGTTGTTCTCATTTTCTGGATCGCAATTCCCAGAATCCCTCATCCAGCATTGCCATGTGGCGATGCACAGAGATGTTTTCTTAGCCACCCCGAGCACCCACCAGTTGAGGCCTTTCTTCAAGACCAATGGTTACTATTTTCTGCTCTCCCCCTGATAATGAATCCATTCTGAACATGGGCAGAGGTAAATTCACCACCTCTTGAATTCAAAATTTCAGACGTGGTGAGTGCTCCAACACTGGAGGCCTTCAAGAAAAAATTAGACAACTACCTTTGATTTGGATTCCTGCATTGAGCAGGGGGTTGGACTTCATGGCCTTATAGGCCCCTTCCAACTCCATTATTCTATGATTCTACTCTATGTCTACTGAGCAATACTTACTTGCTTTCAAAGTTGCCTTTTACAGCATTTTAGAGTCATTTTTTCCTATTTTTTCCTGTTCTTGTGTCATTTCCCTATTAGTTCTCATTGGCATTACCTCTGGAGGTTTGGAGCACTGGAAGATTGAGGCCAACAAGGCAATCAGTTTAGCCATCGCTTCCAGTACCAGGCGCAGATACACATGTGAGCAATTTCTCGCTTTTTGCAGTGGAGTAGGCTTGGGGAGACCATGGCCAATGACAGTTAATCACTTACAACAATATGGGGTTTATCTTCATTGGAAAGGTTTGGCACTATACAGGAAAAGATGTCCGCCCTTGCGTTTTATACCAAAGTGCATGTTTGCCCCGATCCAGCCAGTGATTTTAGAATTTGAAAAAGGATTGAAGGATGGAGTAAAGAGAGGAGTAGGCAAGATGATGAGTGGACACCACTATCACCCAAGATTCTTTTTCAACTTAATAAGGCTTGAGAGGCAAGTGTGCACAGGGCTGGGGGGGGGCAAGGTATTTATCTCGCAAGAAACAATTCTAAAGAACTTACAATTTCTTCTGCAGCAATACAGGAATCCTCTAGCTTGTCAAATTTGGCCTTGGAACAATTTGTCTTCTTAATAATGAACTCCATTTGATAATTTACTCCACTCACAATCTGAAATTGTAAAAGAAAAATTGATTAGCATTTACTTTTATTTTTATTATAGTGAATTCAGGGTAATTCCACCAGTATAAAATTTAAATCTATTATCCTTTGTCAAATTAGCCAGTGACTCTGTGAGAGGTGGATGCAGAAATGTGTACTCAAACATTTACTGGGATGTGAGGGGGGGGAGCTGCTTGAGGTGACTACATGGAGGAGTAATGAATCTTCTTCTCAAATGTTTTGGTAAAGCTTTGTTTCAGAAACATCCTGCGTAAGCAACAGATTCCTGAGGAAATAACTCACAACTTTTAAAAAAAAGTTCGATGAAATTTGGCAAAACTTTTTGAATTTTGTACTATTGAAAGGTGAAGCACATTTTCTCAAATATGAAATAATGCTGTTCTGGGTAAGTTATGGGACATTATAAACAAAACTCTGGAGGAAGAATATCTTTATTGGTCCCGGCCATGGGTGCATTATTTTTAAATTTTTTGTTATTTTAATTTTGGTTGTTTGATTTGTGGATTTTCTGTTTCTGGCTATTTGTTCAGCTTTTAGTAATTTTTTTCTCCTTTATTGCCAAGCATGTTGTCTAGTTTGACCATTGTAAGTCAGACAGGGCTGCTGTGTGACTTGCTGGATCAACACAGGTGCATCTGATGTGACAATTACTGGCCCTCTAAGATCACTTGAGAGATACACAAAAAGATTTGTAAAATAATTCAGATTTAGCTTGAAGAGTTGGTCCTACTTGACTTTCTAAACTAGACTGAAATACTGTATAACATGGACAACAGAGTTCAAACCTGTGCTGTAGCTTCTGTGACGCTGGCAACTTTGTAATGGAAGGCATCATTACTTTCTGAGTTATATTTTTTCATAGTGGCATCCAGTATTTTTTCCACATCTTCACTGTCAGTCTGAATCGGTTTGTGACAACCAAGACAAAGCTTGACTATTTTAAGAAAAAAAATCAAATTAAAATAGTGATTTTTTTCAAAATCTAAGTGCATCTTTTATAGCCATTATATCTTGCCTTAGATTAATTCCACTTAAGTCTTTGTTTGTATGTATGTTTGTTTGCTATATTAGCAAAAAGCACAGTTGGCTATCAAAATACTATTAAAAGGCAAGTCTTCTGAATCAATTGCCTCTCTCCATCTCTATAAATGAAGGGTTTGTGGACTCTCGGGAAACTCTCCATTGACTTTTAGTTGAAGCATATGGATCCTGTGCTGGTTTGGAGCAGAAGCACCAAGGAACATAGCAAACCCATCCTCCCACTCCTCTATCAGCAAAGCTGAAGAGCACAAATCACTACACAATGGGAAAAATGCAAATTGATCCACTTTGTATTCTTACTCAGGACATTGGGTTTCCCTAGATGAATTTACTTTATCACACCACACAGAAATCAGCACAGAGAGAGGAAGAAATTGACAGTCAACCCTTGTTTGCATCTTCTTAAGACAGCTTCTGCTGTAGTTAATTTGAAGAGGTATGGCTATATTAACAAGCTGCAAACAACAGATGATTGCCAACATTCTTTGCTCTCTCTCTCTGTCTTTTTCTCTGCTGACTCCTGTCTGGTCAACTAAAGCAAATGGAGTTCCATCAAATGGTTCTTGTAAACAAGGGCTGATCCCCAATTTCTTCCTCTCTGCTGATCTCCTAGGTACTATAGTGTACCAGTTCTGGAGCAATCCTCAACAACACTGAAAGTTGCTTGTCTGAGGGGAACACGTTTGGGAGTTTTGCTCTGCCTCTGCTCTTTCTTGATTGAGAAAAAGCCAGTTCCTGTTCACTGATTCAACCATGAAGTTGCATTGGCGGAAGCTATCTCACTGGCTAAAACAATGCTAATGCATTTGATTGCTAAAAAATGTAGAAGCCCCAGGGATGGAAGAAAAATGTTGTCAACAGAAAATAATCTGAATGGGTCCACCCCAAGGCCAGACCAATTATTTTTCTATGGAGACTCCTCTAACTTTAGGTGAAACCCTGGACAATCAACTGCCTCCAAATTAGCAGCATTCAGTAAGAATTGTTGTTCATCAATACTTTGAAAGGCCATATCTTCTCGAACCCTGTGCTCAGACTCTCTGAAATGCTAGAAATAGAAAAGTGACCCCACAACGGAATATGTAAAGAGTGAAATTGCTAGTGCACTGTCAGTGTTTAAGCATTCTGGAAGCAGTAATCACAAACCTGGGAGCTTGCAGTGCTGGTCAGTATGATGATGTTTCTTTCTGTTGTCCATATGGACCTTGACTGTACACGTCCCTTTGTCCTGAAAGGAGACAAGAAGCGTGTCAAGGGGAGGGGGGAGCAGGGAGAAAGAAGCAGCAACCATAGAATCTTGATCACACAAGTGAATGCAGCTTTTAGTGTTTATATGTTGACATGGCTGAACTTGGAAATGTTGCCCTCTTGTTTTGGACTGGAATTCCCTGAAGCCCTTATCCAGCACTGCCATGTGGTGATGCACATGGATGTTGACTTTGCAACTCTCAGTCCCCACCAGTTGAGGCCTTTCTTCAAGAAGACCAGTGCTTAGTATTTCCTGCTCTCCCTCGGATAAGGAATCCATTATGAACATGGGCAGAGGTAAATTTGGAGCTGCAGGTTCTCATAGACATTGTCCCCATAACCAGCCTCACTCCAGGAGAGTCTGAAAATGCTGACCCGTGGATTGATCCATGTCCACAGAGGAGTTCTAGGAATCCTTCCTCCCATCAGCAGCAGGTCTTTGGTAAAGCTAATGGCTCTTATTCACCCATTCAAAGCCAAACCAAACTCAAATGCTTTGTGTGGCAACAGGGATGGTTTACATTCAACATAACCTTCCTGGGAAAACCTATTTACCTTTGCCCTCAAACGCTCCTACTGGGTCTCTACCAAGACAAATATCTCAAAAGAGAATACAACGGCATGGGATATATATGCGTAAGGTAATCTGTTGGGACCACATGATGATGATGGACAAAACTAGCCCAGGGCCAGAGGCAAAAACAGATCAGCTCATCCCACCCTTCCGTCCTCCTCTATCCCTATGCACACATCCTAGAACATGGAAATAACTAGTTATAATGCAGTTACAGTGGTGCCTAGCTAGACAGTTCCCCCGCATGACAGTTTTTCACTAGACATTGACTTTTTGCGATCGCTATAGCGATTTGCAAAACAGTGATTCCTATGGGGGAATTTCGCTGGACAATGTTTGGTCCCTGCTTCGCAAACCAATTTTTGCTAGATGACAATTTTGACAACTCCCTCCGTGCTCGCAAAATGGGTGTTTTCGGGACCTGAGCTTCACAAGACAGCTATTTAAACAGCTGATCGGTGGTTTGCAAAGCGGCTTTCCTATGGCCTATCTTCGCTAGACAACGACGATTCTTCCCCATTGGAATGCATTAAACAGGTTTCAATGCATTCCAATGGGGAAATGCTTTTCGCTAGACGATGATTTCACTAAACTGCGATTTCAGTGGAATGGATTATCATCGTCTAGCGAGGCACCACTGTATCTGTAATACAGTTACAGTATCTGTAATACAGTTACAGTATCTGTAATACAGTTACAGTATCTATAAGTACATAACTTCTATTCACAATATAAGTGTGGTAACTAGTACAGTGGTTCCTCGCATAATGAGCGCCCGTTTAACAATGAATCCGCATAGTGATGTGGATTTTGCGATCGCAAAAGCGATCGCATTGCGATGTTTAAATAGGGTAAACAGCTGATCGGTGGTTCCAAAATGGCCACCGCATCAAGAAAATGGCCACCTGCAGCATTTTTGCGCAGATTCTTCGCTTACCGAGGGGGCGAAAATGGCGGCCCTATGGAGGATTCCCGCTTAGCGGTGAGTTTATCCGCCATAGGAACGCATTAAATGGAGTTTAATGCGTTCCTATGGGGTTTTTACTTCCATATAGCGATGTTTCCAGATAGCGATGATTTTTCCGGAACGGATTATCGTCGCTATGTGGGACACCACTGTATTCAAGTAACACCAAATTTACTTATGTCGACCGACTAACTGTTGCTTTCAAAGTTGACTTTTACAGGATTTCTGTGTACATTTTTTTCCTGATTTATGCCATTCTCCTATTGGTCCTAGTCAGCACGAAAAGTGTTCCCGGGTTTGTCCTTTATCTTTTTATAACTATTTCGAACATACAATCCCAGAAGCGGCCACCAGAGATTATCTCCCTGCGTTTTTCGACGCCCGCATTTTGCCCTCGTCTGCTATGCATGCTTAAAGGTACAGCGTATCCTCAACAATCTAAATTTAAATTCATTTTAGACCTTCAAAAGAAGGTACTTTTCTTGGAGGAAACTATTGGGAGAACTTACACTTTTTTGTATAGCAGTACAGTAACGATTTGGTTTGTCAAATTCAGCCTTGGAACAATTTGTCTTCTTAATACTGAACGTAATTCGATTAATTACTCCATCCATCACCTGAAATGTGAGCAGAAATTGATTAACATTTGCTTTTAATTTTTTTTAAAATGGTAGTTTTAGAGTGACACAATCAGTGTATTAAAATCTCTTTTCTTTGGCTAAATTAGCTAGTGACCCGGTGACAAGTAAATGCAGAAATGTGTAATGTGTATTCTAACTTTTACAGGGATGTGTAAGCTCCCGCTTGTGCTTGGCCCACCCTGTTGTAAATCTCTATTAAATACAAAGTATTGCTATTATTGAAATACTGTGAAACCTAGCATTTTGAAGGTGTATCATTCAGATTAGAAAGGAAATCTTTGTGTACTATAAGCCCGGAGACAAACTAAATATTAAAGGGAATATGTATTACCTGTGATTAATCACTTTTCCCTTGCACGGTGGGATTCCCCTAGATATACAATTTTCAGTAGTCTTTAACATTATGCTCATGTTTTCCTCCCAATTAGGTAAAGGTAAAGGTTCCCCTTGACAATTTGTCCAGTCGTGTCCGACTCTAGGGGGCGGTGCTCATCCCCGTTTCCAGCCCATAGAGGCAGCGTTTTGTCCGAAGACAATCTTCCGTGGTCACGTGGCCAGCGCAACTAGACACGGAACACCGTTATCTCCCCACTGTGGTGGTACCTATTTATCTACTTGCCAATTACCAACTCCCAAACTAAGCATGTTAAGTGCGTGACATGCAGATAAGGAAAATCTTATGCTACAACAATCTTCCACCATAGGGGCACCTGTTCAGAAAATGTGCTAAGTGTGTGGTCTGTTGAATCTAGCCAGGGCTGCTCTGTGAGTTGATGGATCAGCACGCAGGTGCATCTGATGTGACTATTCTTCTCCCTCTAACATCCCCTGTGATATATGCAAATGGGTTTGGAGAATAATTTTTACTTGATTTGCTTGACTAGAAATAGAACAATAACAAAGAGTTCAAACCTGAGAGGTGGCTTTTGTGACACGGACAGCTTTGTAATAGAAGGCTTCATCACTTTCTCTGTTAAACCTTTCCATAGCTGCATGTAGTTGTTCGTACACCTCTTTACTGTCAGTTGGAATTGATTCGGGGCAACCAACACAAAGTGGGGCTATTTTAAGAAAAAAAGAGAGAAAAAATGGTTTTATCAAAATCTAAGTGCATCTTTTTTTTAATAGGTTAGGTTACGGATAGGGGACAGGGGACATGGGATTGAACAGGGGTTGCAAATCAACACATTTTACAATACAGTGGTCCCTCGCAAGACGAATGCCTCGCGGGATGAAAAATCCGCAAGACAATTGGTTTTTGTGAACGTTATGGTGCCTCACAAGATGGTTTCTTCTGTGGCCATGCTTTGCAAGATGTTTTTCCCCCCGAGAGCGATGCCTCACAAGACAAATAAATTTTATTTTTTCGCAAGACAGCAGTTCTCGCAGAACGAATTACATTCGTCTTGCGAGGCACCACTGTATTCATTCTTATCTATTACATTTCAAAGATACATATGTTTCCGGTGTAACTACTTTATAATATATATTCTATTTCTAAATTGATCTTAGACTTTCAATGATCAAATATTAATTTGCATTCTATTTCTAAGCCAATTGTAAAATTTATGCCAACAATATTCATGATTCGTCTTTCTTGCTGAATCTAGCCATTTTGATAGTTTGTCCATTTCCACTGTATCCAGGATTTTTGATACTGACTCATCTTGAGATAGATTCTCCGGATCCTTCAATATTTAGCAAAAAGAGTTCTTGCAGCTGTCAGGATATGGATAACTAAATATTTTTTTCATTGAGTCTATTGAATCTGGGATTATATTTAGAAGAAAAAATTCAGGGGTTACAGTTATCGGAATCTCTAAAACTTCTTGCAAAAGCATTTCAACTCTTTTCCAATATCCATTTTGGCTAGTTTTGTGGGAGCTATATACCATCTATAAAACATTTATTATATTTTTTCTTTAAAAGCTACTGACTTAATGAGTTTTATATTATTTATCTATATTTAAATACGGAAAAATAAGTGCATCTTTTATATCCATTATAACATCACATGTTCACTAACTGGATCTTCGTCTTATATTAATTCTACTTAAGTGTTTGTTTGTGTTAAAACGTTTGCTAGAAAAAGAAACAAAATTGGCTTTTATAAAAAGGCAGGTTTGTGAGTTCTTCTGAATCAGTTTCTTCTCTCCTGAATAAATAAAGGGCTTGTGGGCACTCAGGAAATTATCCATTAACTTTTAGTTGAAGCATACGGCTTTTGTGCTGGGTTCAAGCAGAAGCACCAAGTAACATAGCAATCCCTCCACTCTTATATCAGCAAAGCTGGATAGTAACAGGGTGACTACATAGTGGGGGAAAATACAAATTGATCTGCTATGAATTTGTACTCAGGAATTTGGGTTTCCCTGGATGGATTTGCTTTAGCAGACCACACAGAAATCAGCCCAGAGAGAGGAGGAAATAGAAAATCAACCTTTGTTTGTATCCTGTTAAGGCAGCTTCTGCTAAATCCATCCAGATTTGTAGAAAGCATGCCTATAGCAGAACTAGCTTAGTAGGCTTCCTTCAGTCTCAAGTGTGGCTGAGAAGGCCAATTCAAGAGTGACTATCCATTCCACACTGAAGACAACTTCAATCTGTCCCCTGTCCAGCTCCCTGGTTTTGCTGCTTTTGGGACTGCCTCTTGGCCTCAGCCTGCTGAACAAGCATCTCTTCAAATTGGGAGAGGCCATGCTGCACCGCCTGCCTCCAGGCTGAACACTCTGAGCCTTCAGAACTACACAGCTTAATAAGCTGCAAACAATGGATGATTGCGAACTTCCTCTTCTAACTATCTCGACTTCTCTCATCAGCTAAACCAAATGGACTTCCATCAGCTGGTTCTTGTAAGCAATGACTTACATATCATTAATTTCTTCCTCTCCCCTCTTGGCCTCCTAGGTGTTCTACCATACCAGTTCTGGCACAATCCTTAATGATAACAACAACAACAAAAGGTAGCTTAGCTGAGGGGAACTGACAACCTTGTGAGTTTGTCTTTGCTTCCTCTCTTTGTTGAATGAGGAAGCTGCAAAAACCAGCTCCCAGTCACCTGATCAACCAGGTTGCATTGGCTCAAGTGATCACACTTTCTCAATCAATGCTAATGCCTTTGAATGCTAAAAAAGTAGAATCCCCAGGAATGGAAGAAAAAAGTATGTGGGCAGGGAGTTTGCCAGACTGATTTACATTGACTTGAGGTCATTTGAAGTCAGCTTCCGAACCTCACACTATCTCGAAGTACAGGACTAAAAATTCTCAATAACCCACATAGCCACTGGCAATGCTGGCTGTGAGGTGAGAGCTGTGGGCCAATACGCCATGCAGGTGGCAGTTTGGGGAAAGATATGTTAAGGCAGGGGTACGTGCCCTATGATTCTCCAGATGTTCTTGGGATCTGACTTCTATCAGGCCCAGGAAAAAAATGGCTAATGGATAGGATTGTTGTCCACCACAATCTTGAAGGCCACGTCCTCCAGCCTTGAGCTAAGACTTGCTGAAATGCAAGAAATAGGAAAGAGAGCCATCACAGCAGAAGTGACTCTGGTACTTAATACACAAAGGGTAAATTCGTTGGTGCATTTCCATTGTGTAGGAGTCCTGAAAGCTGTAATCACAAACCTGGGAGCTTGCACTTCTGTTCAGCATAAACAAGTGTGTTTCTACTGTTCTGCCATAGGCCAGCTGAGCCCTTTCTTCACAATGAGAAATGCTTTAGCCCTTTGGCATGAGATCGAAGGAGAGTGGGACTTGCAGTCAGATATTAAAGGAGAGTGGGACTTGTAGTCAATGAGCATGAAAGAAAATAGAGCCTGTTCTTAAATAAATACTTTTAAAAAAAAGAAAAAAAAGAAAGGCAGAGAGGTTGTTTTTCTTAAATACAGCCAAGTTGGTACAGCGTGAAACCTGATAAGGATGCAAGGACAAAGAGGCCCAGCGTGAAGACCCAACAGATTCTTTTCTAATTAGAACGGAGATAAACCACCTGTATCTCCATGAGAATTGTAGGCAGATCGGACAGTTACGCCTCTTTGAGTTAATTGGTTTTCAGTCATGAAGAAGGAGATCAGAGGAATGTAAAAAAATGGACGATGGGTTATGTGAGAGACATCACCATCATGGTGTGAAAGAGAACTTTTGCCTGAGAGAAGTTCTTGATGGTTGGTGTTATGTAGCTTGAAGGAAAGAGAATGTACAGTAGGTAAGAGAAGGAGGAAGTGGGGCTAGCCCACCTTACCCCAGTTTTAGTGTTTATTGTTTTAATGGGAATTTGTTGTTGTATTTAACTATGGTAGTCCTTTGTACATGTCATTTCCATTGTGTAGGAGTCCTGAAAGCTGTAATCACAAACCTGGGAGCTTGCACTTCTGTTCAGCATAAACAAGTGTGTTTCTACTGTTCTGCCATAGGCCAGCTGAGCCCTTTCTTCACAATGAGAAATGCTTTAGCCCTTTGGCATGAGATCGAAGGAGAGTGGGACTTGCAGTCAGATATTAAAGGAGAGTGGGACTTGTAGTCAATGAGCATGAAAGAAAATAGAGTTTGTTAGGTTTTAAAAGTAAAAGGGGGTTGAAGACATGGGAATGTTAGAAAGGCAGAGAGGTTGACTGAGTAAAAGTAAAGTGTTGTTTTAAGGTCAGGCTTATAACAGGCGCAAATGCTACACACTGCTGAAGGTTGAGGACTTGCCCCAGTGTAAAGTGGTAAATTTGTGACTGTGGAACTGCCTGCCTGAAGGACCCATGCTCCTTAGGGAGATTTGGTCCTGACACTGTGGTCCTCTAATTTTTATTTCTGCCAGTAACATTTTTAACAAGAAGTCAACAGCAGGAAACCAGAAGGCCGGAGGAGTTTAATGGTGCGGATAAATTACTCAAAAGCTCTTAGTGGGAAAAAGCGAGGCTATGCTTCAGAGCTCCAATTCCTGGAATCCTTGGAGAATTCTGGGAACTGAAGTCCAAAACTCAAAAAAACACAAACGAACATACCAAACAGTGGGAACTGAAGTCCAAAACTCAAAAAAACCCCACAAACGAACATACCAAACAAACAAACAAAACCCTAGAGGCTATTTTCCCATTCAAAGCATTTACGAAGTTTTAATGTAACATGTGCATACGTGGAACAAGTCCGCATCCCATTCCAAGAATATTGGTAGAGTTTGTAGTATCATCAATGTGAATTTCACACTTGCCTCTGGCCTAAAAGGAAGGGCAAGAAAAGGTAAGTTTTCATTTTCTGCTTCACTCACATGTTATCTTACAATATGTTAACTAGCACATCATACTTATTAACCTAGTACTTAGGTACATACAAAGGCATGATGGTTAATCAATGCATTACGGGTAACATACAAACAAATACACAGGACAATAAAGACCATCTGACCTGCTTCCTATTGAGATTTTCTCTCGGGTAAGTCACAACATCAGATGACAGCTGATTAATAAGGTGCTGGCTATATGGCTTGTGGACATTCGAATTTCCAGCCCTTTCTCTCTGCCTTTTTGCCTTCTGAGCTCTCAAAGGGCTTTCCGCCCGACATCGGAGGAAGCCCTTTGAGACCTCCGAAGGCGCCGATCGCGGTGATAGGGACCCCCAGGGAGGTCTTCCCTGGTGGTGGGCAAGTCCTGGGAGACCTCCCTGGGGGTCCCCGCCGCCGCGATTGGCACCTTTGGAGGTCTCAAGGGGCTTTCCCCCTGACATCGAGGAAGTTGTTTGAGACCTCCGAAGCCAAAAAGTCAGGGAGAAAGGGCGGGAAATTTGAATTTCCAGCCCTTTCCCCCTGCCTTTTTGCCTTTTGAAATGCTGGAACGGATTAATTCCGTTCCCATGCATTTCAATGGGAAGTGGTACTTCGACTTACGAACTTTTAGATGTACGAACGTCGTTCCAAAACGGATTAAGTTCGTAAATCGAGGTATCACTGTATTATTCTTGTTCTAAAAATCTGCAATTCTCCATTCTGCATCTTTCACCTGACAGAGACACGACTACATATACGGCTCACATGGATAAAGGTCCTAGTTGGGAAGGCTTTGCAGCCTGCCTCCATCCAAACTTCCTGTGTAGAAGGGAAGTTCCTAGCTATCAATAGGGCAGCTCCAGGTGAGCCACATTTAAGTGTCTCTGGGTATGGATCTGTCAGGCAGAACTCTCGGAATGGAGAATTATAGGATTCATAGTAAAACAATCAAAAAAGTTCTATACCTAATGGTTGGTACTTACCTAATTTTATGCCAGTCATGCAACCAGGCATATGACTGGCACCTTGTTAATTATCCACAGTTTCCTGCTGTGACTTACACCAAGTCCTTTAACTTGAAATGAAATCTCAGTAGGATTCTGGCCTATATGTATACATATTATCTGAGGGTGCAGAAGAGTGATATGATAGATAAAGAGAGCTCACAGTAGGACCCGGACCCACAAAATGAGGAGTCCCTATATCTTCCTGGTTTAACACAGAAATGAGAGATGTTGTTGTTTAGTCATTATGTCGTGTCCGACTCTTCATGACCCCATGGACCAGAGCACGCCAGGCCCTCCTGTCTTCCACTGCCTCCCGGAGTTGGGTCAAATTCATGTTGGTTGCTTTGCAGACACTGTCCAGCCATCTCCTCCTCTGTCGTACCCTTCTCCTCCTGCCTTCACACTTTCCCAACATCAGGGTCTTTTCCAAGGAGTCTTCTCTTCTCGTGAGATGGCCAAAGTACTGGAGCCTGAGCTTCAGGATCTGTCCTTCCAGGGAGCACTCAGGGTTGATTTCCTTTAGAACGGATAGGTTTGTTCTCCTTGCAGTCCAGGGGACTCTCAAGAGCCTCCTCCAGCACCACAATTCAAAAGCGTCAATTCTTCATCGGTCTGGTTTCCTTATGGTCCAGCTCTCACTTCCATACATCACTACAGGAAAAACCATAGCTTTGACTATTCGGACCTTTGCTTTTTAAGATGCTGTCTAGATTTATCATCACTTTCCTCCCAAGAAGCAGGTGTCTTTTAATTTTGTGGCTGCTGCCACCATCTGCAATGGTCATGGAGCCCAAGAAAGTAAAATCTGTCACCACCTCCATATCTTCCCCTTCAATTTGCCAGGAGGTGATGGGACCAGTGGCTGTGATCTTAGTTTTTTTGAGGTTGAGCTTCAGACCGTTTTTTTGTGATCTCCTCTTTCACCCTCATTAAGACGTTCTTTAAGTCCTCCTCCCTTTCTGCCATCAAAGGGGTATCACCTGCATATCTGAGGTTGTTGATATTACTTCCAGCAATCTTGATTCTGCCTTGGGATTCCTCCAGTCCTGCCTTTCGCATGATGTATTCTGCATATACGGTAAGATAAATCAACAGGGAGACAATATACAGCCTTGTCGTACTCCTTTCCCAAATTTGAACCAATCAGTAGTTCCATATCCAGTTCTAACTGTTGCTTCCTGTCCCACATATAGCTTTCTCAGGAGATAGAGAAGGTGGTCAGGCACTCCCATTTCTTTAAGAACTTGCCATAGTTTGCTATGGTCCACACAGTCAAAGGCTTTTGCATAGTCAATGAAGCAGAAGTAGATCTTTTCCTGGAACTCTCTGACTTTCTCCATAATCCAGCGCAAGTTAGCAATTTGGTCTATAGTTCCTCTGCCCCTTCAAAATCCAGCTTGTACTTCTGGGAGTTCTCAGTCCACATACTGCTGAAGCCTACCTTGTAGGATTTAGAGCATAACCTTGCTAGCGTGGGAAATGAGTGCAATTGTACGGTAATTGGAGCATTCTTTGGCACTGCCCTTTTTTGGGACTGGAATGTAGACTGATCTTTTCTAATCCTCTGGTCACTGCTGAGTTTTCCAAACTTGCTGGCATATTGAGTGTAGCACCTTAACAGCGTCATCTTTAAGATTTTAAAGAGTTCAACTGGAATGCCAGCACCTCTACTGGCCTTGTTGTTAGCCATGCTTTCTAAGGCCCACTTGACTTCGCTCTCCAGGATGTCTGGCTCAAGATCAGCAACCGTACTGTCTGGGTTGTCTGAGACATCCAGATCTTACTGGTATAATACTTCTCTGTATTCTTGCCACCTCTTCTTGATGTCTTCTGCTTCTGTGAGGGTCCTACTATTTTTGTCCTTTCTCATGTCCATCTTTGCACAAAAGGTTCCTTTAATATCTCCAGTTTTCTTGAAGAGAACTCTGGTTTTTCACTTTCTATTATTTTGCTCTATTTCTTTGCACTGTTCATTTAAGAAGGCCCTCTTGTCTCTCCCTGCTATTCCCTGGAAGTTTGCATTCCATTTTCTGTAACTTTCCCTATCTCCCTTGCATTTTGTTTCCCTTCTCTTCTCTGCTATTTGTAAGGCCTCGGTGGACAGCCATTTTGCTTTCTTGCATTTCCTTTTCTTTGGGATGGTTTTTGTTGCTGCCTCCTGTACAGTGTTACGGGCCTCCACCCATAGTACCTCAGGCACTCTGTTCACCAAATCTAGTTCCTTAAATCTGTTCTTCACTTCCACTGTGTATTCATAAGGGATTTGATTTGGATTATACTTGACTGGCCCAGTGGTTTTTCCGACTTTCTTCTGTTTAAGCTTGAGTTTTGCTATAAGAAGCTGATGATCAGAGCTACAATCTTCATGTACTTTTAAGAAGGCCTTTTCAGCTTTTATAGTTTATAATATTTTAGGGGACCTTTGGTTTTTAAAAAAGAAATACCTATACTATCTGCCTTTTTGAGCGATAAGGTCCTTTATTCTATATGAATCTTCTTTTAACTACAATTGAAGCTTTGTATTTAAATGCCTTCAACTTTCATAAATGTAAGATTTGGGATTTTATGTCACGTGCTGCCAATTTACATAGCTGCAAGACTTTTGGATTTAAGTTTTTGTGCCTACAATTCTTCTTACAATTCCATGACTGTCTTCAATATATTTCGGACTTGCTATTTTTGAAGTATGGAACTCAGAAATAATGTACAGTAACTAAATAAAGCTTGATAGAGAGAAAAGCTTTGGAATTGCCTAGAAATTAATGCAACAAAGAAAATATTTTTACTTAAATATCCAAATGAGTTTGGGAATGCTTGTCAATGATTATCTGATTTTATTCTGGGATTAACCCTTTACTGGAATAATGTCAGCAATGACAAACCATAGGCTTCTGTTCTTTGCTGAGGAAGTCTATAAATCTCTGTAGGAGTCCTGGGGCACTCACACATCCTTACCTGGGATCTGACATATTGATCTAGATCTGTGATTCTTAACCTTGGATCCCCAGGTGGTCTTGGACTGGAACTCCCAGAAACCACTGCCAACAAAGCTAATAGTGAAGGCTTTGGAGAGTTTTAATCCAAGAACATCCAGGGAACCAAGCTTGGGAAGCACTGATTTGATGGATGCCAATATGCATAGATTTCCCATATGCTTGTTATATTTTCATACAATGCCAGGATGCACACCACGCAACCCCCAATCCCACACTTGGTGAGTTTTTATAAACACGTTTATTTTGAAGAAGAGAGGTTACAGATACTTACTCCTTCTGTGGGTGGAAGGAACTTGCAGTTCTGCCAGGGGATACTTCTGTTAGCACAAGCGGTTTCCCGTACACTATATTTCACAAAGAAGGTTTTACCGGGGCCTGCCTGGAAAAGATATTTGTGTAAGTCGTTTTGATTTCAGCAGGTAAGAGCTGGAGGAACAAATTGTTTCAAAGGTTTTCAAAGGGATTTCTTAATGGTGCCTTTCAGGGCGTGTTACATGGCTTCAAAGGAAGTCCGTTCCTACAGTCACAAACGAATGGAGCCCTGGGAGCATCTGCGGTTGGAAAAACTCTTTTCCGCTGAAGCATGGAAGGAACACCAGCAGTCTCCCCCCCACACACACACTTTAGGGACACTGTGCTTTGACAGCTGTCCTAGTCAGGCAATCACGAGAGTCATTTTGATAAGCTGAAGGTACAGATGTTAGGCTGAGTTCCTGTCAAATGTTCAACAACTTTCTCCATATGACTCCAAATTAAGCCCCTCCCAAGCAAACTGCACCAGAGCACAGAGTGCTACTCCTGTCCTCTGAAGATGCCAGCCACAGAGACTGGCGAAACGTTAGGAAGAACAATCTTCAGAACATGGCCAAATAGCCCGGAAAACCCACAACAACCAATTAAGCCCCTAATGAGATATGACGACAGCCCACTTTGCTTGAGTCAAGCCTCTGCCTTCTTTACATATCAAGCGCATGGTGGGATTTCATCTCTGGCAATGTGGACTAGAAGGCCTCAAGCTTGTTAGATAAAGAGCTGTCAGTCAGGAGGTCCTGGGCATTCTAATCTGCCTTGCTAGAGATGGAATCTGAAACCCACCATCTCTGAGCAGATTCTGCAGCCCTCATCTTGGAATCTACTTGGAAACAATGAACCTGGCCTTCATAGGGAGCCATTATTTTTGAAATGTTTGATTTTTTTCCTCTGAACCATTCCCAGCTCTTTATATAGAAGCATGTGCCCTTTTTTTGTTGTGTTGCAAAGTATACTTACTGTTTTATTAGTTTCCAGAATCACATTGAGAGCGAAGAGATTGCCATGACTGAAAAGGTCTCTGTTAAATGCCTTCAGACTAAGTTCTACTGCATGGAAAACTTCAGGGTCATCACAGCCGACCGCTTCCCCCTGGAGAGGAACGGCTTGGCTACCAGAAAGGCTGAGCAGCAGGAGGATGAGAAGTTCCATCTCTAGCTAGAGAAGCTCCTTCTCAGACCCAGGAGTTGAAAAGGCAGGAGGAAGTCCTCTTCACAAGATTAACGAGGATTTTTTTTTCTGGGCAGACACAGAACAGACGAATGTTCTTAAATAATCAAGCAGAAAAATAAACTGAACACTGGCAATGAGGCCCAGTGAACTTTTGCCATATTCTGTGTACAGAGCAAACAACAGTTTGAGTTCATCTAAACACCTGCTTAAAAAAATAAACCCTACGGACATTAGGACATCTCATGTTCATGTTACAGGATTAACCTCAGAACGTCAGGGACAAAACGTAGACTGCCTTTCCTGGTTCTGATTTTGTAAAGTTGAGAACATACAGAATTTGGAGATAATAATGTTGACTTCAACATTCATCCCTTAATTAAATACAGAGAAGGCAAAGCCTGAACCTTTGGCCGTCTCCTCATCTTAGTTGAGCAACTTGTGGCTTTATGGACGTTACTGAGCAGCAGCTCTTATCACCCTCTCCATTGATGATGATGGCTAAAACTGAGAGGAACTGTGGTCTAACCACATCTTGGGAGGCCACAGGTTATGAAAGTGTGCATATCTATTGTTATTTCTGTCCACCCTGTCTATATACAGTATGTAATGACCCAAGGTGCTGCATTTTAGAAAAAAAAGAATTATGGGACTTAAGAAGCTGTTCCAGTACCCACGTCCCCTCTTCCCTTTACCCAGACACATTCCAGAACATATGGTTTTGCCAAGCCATATGGCAGAGGGACCCAAGAAACTGCCTTATGGAGATGTGGAAACAAGCAGGCTCTGATTCCATGGAAATTGCTAGCAACTAGAATAAAAGTGAGCAAAATACTGCCACTCTGGTCTTGGACCCTTCTCAGACAGAGAGCAGAAAAGGGCTGTATAATATCTGGCAGTTCCACTGGCAATAAGAACTACAGTTAAATAAATTTAGTGTTACAGTGGTGCCTCGCTAGACGATGATAATGCGTTCCATTGAAATCACTGTTTAGTGAAATCATCGTCTAGCGAAAAGCATTTCCCCATTGGAATGCATTGAAACCTGTTTCATGCGTTCCAATGGGGAAGAATCATCATCTAGCGAAGATCTGCCATAGGAAAGCCACTTTGTGAACCACCGATCAGCTGTCTAAAGAGCTGTCTTGTGAAGCTTAGGTCCCGAAAACACCCGTTTTGCGAGCACGGAGGGAGCTGTCAAAATCGTCATCTAGCAAAAATCAGTTTGTGAAGCAGGGACCAAACATCATCCAGCGAAATTCCCCCATTGGAATCACTGATTTGCGAATCGCTATAGCGATCCCAAAAAATCAATGTCTAGCGAAAAAACTGTCATGTGGGCTAACTGTCTAGCGAGGCACCACTGTATTTAAAATTTATTTATAAATTCTCATGCAAATAATGCATGGGCTGCAAAGCAAGTTTTTTTTTTTTAAAAAAGAAGCTGGCAGTGACCTTTTAAAAAAACCTGGATCCTAAATCAATTCAATACAGTGTAGTTTGGTGGATATGAATGCTTCTGTCATTTTAATTTATGCCTATGTGGTTTTTGGATGACAGGGGCACCTGTTAATCCTTTTAAATTTTAATTCTTTCTTAAAATATTTATCACTGTATCACTTCATCAATACATTCTTGCTGAACCCACTGGATGCCTCCTCCCATTCCTATTTTCCCATCATTAATCGGCTAGGGTCACGTCTCCAGTGCTTCTCCTGCAGTTTTTAGTGGCTATTATGACACCAGGTGGCACCTTGTAAACACTCGATTTAGCGATGTATCGCTTACTTTAAGAAAAAAACAAAACCAAAAATTCAACGAAGACTGTTCTCTGCAGACAGAACAGAGTCAATTCCAGTGTAACTCCCCAAACTGCTTTTAATTACCAGAAAAATTGAAGTAATTTAAGTCAAAGTGAATGCATCTGCTGAATTATACAGTATATCACATGTCTTTTTTTAAAAAAATCCAGACTGGAATCAATGTAAATCGGCAGCATGACTGAGCCTTTAGTGAGCAATTACCTGTTTTGAATTCAGAAGGTCCCAGGGCCAAACCCACAATACTTCCAAGTAAGGCTCAGTTTAGGGACCATCCTGACCTTTATGGACCAAGAGGTCAACTCAACATTTCTTACATATTGTATATGTAGCAGCCCTTGTGATTTTTACATTTTTTGAACCTGTGGACCGGACATGCCTCCAGCTTGGGAAAATTACTTTGTAGACTACAAAAGGTAACTTTTCCAAGCTGAGGTCTGGCCCCCAAATAAAAGAAATGGTAGTATTTGTGTACATAGACACTTAATTTTTCTTAGAAGAAGAAGTCACGCAAAACTAGCCATCTTAGCTCTTCGGGCTTTAGTGCCGTATTGGTGAAATGGGATCACATGAGATAAGCGTATGTGGGGATTGGATAGAGAAATGGGGAAGAATGCCTGGATCTGAGCATGTGACAGCTACGTTGGTTCCACCGTCTGTTTTGCGTTTCCTTCTGCCCCAGGAAGAAGTGGCTGGAGGCAGCATCTGTGCCTAGGGCCAGTAGGTTTGTATCCTTCCCCCAGCAAACCCCAGCAAATCGGTTTACACCCTTCCAGCGGCACATGTTGTACCCTTTGCATTTCAGCACCCTTGGTCAAAGCCCATGACAATTCACTCTAGTTATATCTTTTGGCTGAGAAATCTTAAGAGAATGGTTTCGATACATAACAACATCATTATTTAGAGCTGTTGCGTCCAAAGTCAAAATAATTATAATACCTGTATAACCCCAGCAAATCGGTTTACACCCTTCCAGCGGCACATGTTGTACCCTTTGCATTTCAGCACCCTTGGTCAAAGCCCATGACAATTCACTCTAGTTATATCTTTTGGCTGAGAAATCTTAAGAGAATGGTTTCGATACATAACAACATCATTATTTAGAGCTGTTGCGTCCAAAGTCAAAATATTTATAATACCTGTACTGCTCAAACTCTGGTAGGACAGGAAGGAGAGGAAGAAGGTTACAACTTACAGGATGTCTACCATGCAGTTGAAGCCAATGAAATTATACTTTAAACCACTAGTTAGCACCACCCATAGTGGTTAAGCAACAGACCTCCACAAAGTTATCTTCTTCGTGCTTCTCTCTTGGTTGAAATGAACATCCAAATCATTAACACGGCTTGCAAAGCAAGTAACTTTCATCAAGACTAAACCAACTCTACCAGGTAGACTGCCACCACCATCTCTCCTCCAACTTGTACTAGAGTAAACCTGAGCCTTTAACAAACTCCCTAAAGGCTTTCTCAGGGATTAAGACCAGAGGTCAGGAAACTTCCAAAGTGTCTTAAGCAGACACTACAGAACTGCAGAAGTCTTAGTGCCTCTTCAGTCAAGAGAGTCAAGACTTAATTTCCTCTCCTTGAAGCCCAAAAGATGCCACCACACAAACATCACCCAAGATGGACTGTAGACCAGATCAGCTGTTTCTTGTGGTGTCCCACTGTTACTACAGGAATCATAGGTGGTACAGGTATGCTACACCAGGGGCGAATGATGAATTTCATACACCTGTGTACATTGAAAGACAAATCAGATTGCTCCTTTTTGGTGGGGAAACCTTCCCTAAAGCTAGTATATATTGTCTCTGATCTCATGCACTTTTCTCCCCAGAAGATAAAGTACTTAAATATGTTTATTTATTTTAAAAACATCTTTCCAGTCAAATTATTCAGATCACATTGTGAAAAACATAGATTTGCATCAAAGATCACACCATGTTCCTCCCAATGGGCTTCTCCGTAAACATTGCCACCCCTCTGTACCATCATCTCGCCCCCGTTATTTTAGCCAGCTAAGCTCCCTTGCCTCTTTTGACCCCTTCCCATCAGCTCCATAAATCATTCATTTTTTTGTTTGCCTTTCTTAACCTAGGATCAAGGCAAACAAGCTTTAATTACACTGATACTCTATGAAAACCATTCTCCTCTTGAGCATCAACCTCGGTTTCTCTGGAAGAGCTGTCTGATGTAAACTCAGCAGGCCACATAAAGGGTGAAGTGCTTTGTGCAGCTTGAAATGGAGCTACTGTTGGTGGAAACTGTGTTTCTTACAGGCCTCCCCTGTTCTAACTGTTACGCAGAAAAGACAATTGAAGCCCATCTTTCCCTGGTGAAAGATATGGAAACAGTAGCTAAAAAAAAGGTCTAAGAGGGTTTAAGAACCAAAAGAACGTTTATATTTGCTAGCAAAGAGAAACTGGTTGCAGTCCTAAAACAACTCGGAAAGTATGTGGCACAGTTACAAAACCTTTTCTACCTTTCTAAGCAATAGTACTACCGTGTTTCCCTGAAAATTAGGCGGGGTCTTATATTAATTTTTGCTCCAAAAACGCATTAGGGCTTATTTTCAGGATATATTTTTTAATGTACAACAATCTACATTTATTCAAATATAGTCATGTCATCTTCTTCTGGTTGCTGCACAATGGTGGAGGGTGGGGTTTCACTTAACTGGTTCTAAATTTTGGGTTAGGGCTTATATGACGACCATCCTTAAAAAATCATACTAGGTCTTATTTTGGGGAAAACAGTATCATATGCATTATATGTACCAAACAATAAGCAAACCTGCAGTTCAATGCATTCCAATGGGGGGGGGGAATTCACCAAAAATTAACAAAGAGTCAGAACAAAGCCAAATTAAGTTTGCAAAGGTTTTACAAGGTGCACTAACGATTCCAAGCATTTAAAACAGTTTTTGAACATTTTAGGACACTTTAAAAATAGCGAAAACAGACATCGCAAAACCATTGGAATGCATTGAATAGGCTTCAATGCATTCCAATGGGGGAAACATTGTTTCCTTAGCAATGTTTCCTATGGCGATTTTCGCTTAAGGACCGTAATCCGTTCCCATTGGAACGGATTAACCGGTTTTCAATGCATTCCTATGGGAAATGGTGTTTCGCTTAGCAATGTTTTCCCATAGCGATTTTTTTTGAACCAATTAACATTGTTAAGCGAGGCACCACTGTATTTATAATCATTGGCAAGCAAAAGCATAAAGAGACTTCCAGTACTTGAGCATATCTTGAGTTCTCTTAGACAACTATGTGGAGGAGGCCCTATCCAATGAGATGTAGTTCAGTGGCAGGAAAAGTAAGGTCCTGCACTTAGGCAGGAGAAACCAGATGCACAGGTACAGGATAGGTGGTACCTGGCTCGACAGTAGTACCTGTGAGAGGGATTCAGGTGTCCTGGTAGACCACCATGTCAGGATGAGCCAGCAGTGTGCTGCAGCTGCCAAGAAAGCCAACACAGTCCTACGCTGCATCAACAAGGGGATAGCATCAAGATCACGGAAAGTGATAGTACCACTCTCTACCTCACTGGTGAGGTCATGCGTGGAGTGCTATGTCCAGTTCTAGTCACCACGACACAAAAAAGACACTGAGGCCCTGGAAGGGGTGCAGAGAAGAGCAATAAAGATGATAAGGGGACTGGAGGCTAAATCTTATGAAGAAAGACTCAAAGAACTAGGTATGTTTAGCTTAACGAAGAGGAGACTGAGGGGAGACATGATAGCAGTCTTCCAGTATCTGAAGGGTTGACACAGGGAAGAGGGCATCGACTGATTCTCCATTGCACCTGAGGGTAGGACAAGAACCCATGGGTTGGATCTCAACATGTTGACCATCTGTGCAACAGCATGGCGCAATATAAGGAAAGGAAGCAGTCAGACATCCACACAGGATGGTGACCCCCTGCATCCAGCTGGGCTTGAACTTTGGAGGCCTAGCTGCATGAATGGCTAACCCATCACCCTTGCCCACAACTGAGAGGCAACAACCACCCAGACAGCCAAAGAGGTGTTGAAATTGGCAGGTAAGAATAGAAGACCACGGCCCCACCTATTGCGGGGGTGGCTGTGAGGAACTGTTCTGTGCTAAGTGACATGAACTCTACCTTTGACCAGGTCAGCATGTTATCACCTGAATATGGTAAATAACATTTACAACAAAGAGTTGGTAAATATAGGAAATATAATGCAGTGATTCTTTCGGCTTGTACCTTTCACTATGCCAGGGGCATAACTCCCATTGAATGGTGTATGGCAGATTTCCAAGCCAATACAAGGAGTGACCCGGAAGGCTTTGTGGGTGGTTACTTGAAAAGGCCAATGATTGTGCTTTCGTGAGAAGGTTGCTTTTGGCCTCCTGCTCATGGCTGTAGCCCTGTGTTTTTGAACCACAAAACCTTACAGCCTCCTTAAGTGGAGAGTGGCTCAACTTGGTGGTCAAAGGCCAGTAAAACTGAATGCCAAGAAACAAGAGTAAACCTATTGTTGCATCCTAGCGGGCCAGGGTATTGATCAGAGTTCTCTTGTGCTGAAACATGGAGCAAATTACTTTTCTTCATGGATTCTATGCATGCAATTTGTAAGAAAGCAGGCTTTCTAAACTTTACACTGGAGGTAAACAGCACAAACGACCTGTTGGGACTCCTCTGCAGGGGTGCTGTACTAACTTTGGAAGTGGAGGTGCTCATCATGACAATCCCTATAGCGTAACCCCCAAATACAGTCCTAATTTCTGTGATCTGCATTGATACCTATGACAAATAACTCAGTTCTACCACTTTCCATTTTCAGGTAAAAGTAAAGGTTTCCCTTGACATTTAGTCTAGTCATGTCCGACTCTAGGGCGCAGTGCTCATCCCTGTCTCCAAGCCATAGAGCCAGCGTTTGTCCAAAGACAATCTTCCGTGGTCACATGGCCAGTGCGACTAGACACAGAACTCCGTTACCTTCCCACCGAGGTGGTACCTATTTATCTACTCACATTTACATGCTTTCAAACAGCTAGGTTGGCAGGAGCTGGGACAAGCGATGGGAGCTCACTCCATCGCGTGGATTCGATCTTATGACAGCCGGTCTTCTGACCCTGCAGCACAGAGGCTTCTGTGGCTTGACCCGCAGCGCCACCACATCCCTACTTTCATTTTTACCCTTACGTAAACTACTGTTCTTTCATGCTTGTTTAGAGAGAGAAATGAAAAGTGCTTTGATGATGGCTACCCCAAATTCCTTTCTACGTAGCTACAACCCAACTGTACAGACACCACAGTGGATCTGTTTTTGACATTAAAACAGATCAACACAAGCCACCTCCCCCATCTCTGCTCTGTGGTGTTTACATCAGGAAAGGCCTTCCAGAGAGACAAAAGTCATGATCAAGAAGAAACAGAATTTTATAGACCTGTCTGTGGGCTGCTCCTGCACCCAGGGAGATAGCCTGCTTACCTCAAACACTGTACCTTTTAAGGTAGCATTCAGTTTACTATATCAGTTGCCACTCTGCTCAGTAGTCCTCGTGGAATATGCGATAGACATCAGTTACCTCTGGCAGCATAATCCTCTGCCTTGTTCTGTGAATTGTGCCCCTCCACTTCCAAAGTGGTGAGATCCTTACCCCTCTTTCAATCCTTGGCCCACTTCCCCTGATTTAGAAATGACTGCTATTTCACATGGGAATCTGTTGTACGTCTAATATACTAACAGCTGTGTTTATAGACCCTACTGGTTTTCTGAGCATGAACTGTTTGACATACATCCCACAGCTCTGAGATGTCAAGCCATATTTCATTTCACATGTGAAAAATTCTGATTTCTGAATTAGCCATAAGAAAGACAATTGTGTCTATCGATGGGCCTTTTGTGTTGACATAAAAGGAAAACACACATACCCAGGACACTCTTGTTGTGTGTTCTTTTGTCAATTCCCAGCAAAGAGCCTCTTCAACACAAATGATTCATAGTTATGAAAGATATGTACAGTGGTGCCCCGCATAGTGACGATAATCCGTTCCGGAAAAATCGTCACTATGTGGAATCGTCACTATACGGAACATAAAAGCGCATAGGAATGCATTAGGACACGTTTAATGCGTTCCTATGGGCAAAAAACTCACCATTATGCAAAAATCCTCCATACGGCCGCCATTTTCGCTGCCCAGTAAGCGAGGAACCGACGCGAAAACACAGTGGGCGGCCATTTTATTTACCCAGCGGCCATTTTGGAACCGCCAATCAGCTGTTTAAAAAACATCACTATGCGAAAATCGGTAAACGAAACAGCTTACCGATCATCGCAAAGCGATTTTTTGCCATCTAAATCATCGCAATGCGATCGCAAAAACGATCGCAAAAAAACACATTGCTATGCAGATTCGTTGTTAAACGGGGCGCCCGTTATGCGGGGCACCACTGTACATGGAAGTTTGTTTCTTGTGCATTTCGTTTTTTAAATTACACCTTTCTTTCACCTTTGTCTGTCCAATTACTTGGGGATTATTTTTATCCAAGAGTGTCACAAGGGCTGCTGTGAGCAGCAAATCAGAAACTCCAGGGGGATTTTTAATCTGTAAAAGGTCCTGGATTGGTTGGAACTGAGTGAGGAGGGGTGGACTCCTCTTTACTTTGCCTTTGCCTCTGTCATCTCTTATGTAGTATTATGATCACACACAGTTATCAGGGTGCTGATTGTGAATACTGGAAGACCACGTATTGATTTCAGGAAGACTTGCGATCAGAGAAAAGTGGAGGAATTTGCCCAGGCGCTTGAGGAAACCCTTCCAGGCCCGGCTGATGCAAATACACCCAAACAATAGGAATGCTTCCAGAATGCTGTTGGTACAAGCAAAATGCAAAAACAAACTCCTTTGTGGAAAACAGTTGGTCGAGCTAGATTCTATGCCTACCATGGTTTTTGAAGACGTGCTCTTTCAAGTGAATGATACCTGTTTGACATAGTATGCGATTGGTGATTGGAAAATGAACACTGATTTATTTTGCAACTCTGATTCTTGAGTTTATCAAAGGAAGCACACATTCTCTTTAATGTATTGCACGATTCCACGTTTCCTCAAAATTTGAGCAGAGTAGGTCCACTGAATCACATGTTGTTCTACCATGCTGTCATTGTCAATGGGTCTACTTTGGTTGGGACTAGGTTTTAGTGCCCACATGTCAGTTTCTGGTTTCAGTTTTTGGGTGTTTGGGGAATGCTGTGGGTTCTCTTGGACAACTTCCAACCTTCCTAATGAGAAACCATCACTCTGAGAGGCCCCCCAGGAATAAAAGTCTTTGTGTTCCTGTCAAACAAAATTTCCTGTCAATGAAAAAATTATAAATAGCTGTGTATGCATACACTGAGGATCTTGGGAGACTCGGAACAGATATGTAACCTGCTTGGGGTGTGTGGGCATCACACAAATCCAATTTAACACATTTTGTGCACTTCTGCTGCCAAAGCTTCTCTAAAATGGAAAGGATGCGTTGACTCGCCTTCTGGGGATCTACATTATTCTGCTAGGGATGATTTATCTAATGGGGTTGCCTTTACTACCGGCCTCTCAGGCAAGTCAAGGCCAAGGATGTTTATTGTGCTCTCTCCTGGACAGGTATCTGATGCTGAAAACCCAGCTGGGTAGGGAGGAATGCTTAATCTACTTGGCTCACCCAAGCTTGGTCTAGTAGGCTTACCCAGGCCTGGTCTACCTGGCTTTCTTAAGCCTGGATGTTCTGGTTTTTGGGGTGGATGAGTTTCTACAGGAGCATCCAGGCTGGGGGTGAATTTGGGCTCCTGCACTTGAGGAGGTGGGACAGGTTTCCCATCCAGGTGTTCTGCTCCAATTTCAGGTAATGAGTGAAGGGAAACGTGCTCGGTTGAAGGGGGAAGGATGACCACCCGCCCCACTGTTTTCTCCTGGTCCACCGGATGGGGATGTGGTGACTGTGCTTCTTGGTGCCCACGGGAGTGATCCCCATGATGCTTGGGATGATGCTTGTTATTTGGATGGCCACCCTGATGGTGATGATGACGGTGTCCTTTCCCTCTTTGGTGATGGTGACGGTCGCCTTCATGGCTTCCTTCCTCTGAATGTTGTCCTTGCTGCCCAGACTGAGGTCCAGATGGCGGAGTTTGTTCAGTAGTGCCAGGACCCTAATAGGACCACAGGTGAAGAAGACAAGTTCAAGGGATGCGGCCATCTTGGAACTTGGAAGCACATGGCCATCCAGCATGGGGAAGATGCTCCCCCTTATCATGCAGCTTATGGAAACATGCATCATCATCATCATTATCTTTGAACTGGATTTTTGGAAGGATCCTATGGATCATCAAACCCAGCCACTGTCAAGAGGGCACAGTAGGAAATCAAACTCCCAACCTCTGGCTCCACAACCACATATCCAAACCATTAAGGTGCAGCATAAACAGCATGCAACAACTTTTTTTTTTCGTATGGTAAAATAGCCAAATAGTTCAATTGCTATACTAACAAATATGAAATACAAGCTTAAGTGCAGGAGGAGGCCATGTATATTTGATGTGCTGTCTCTTTGACATATATCTGATTCTAAAAACCTAGTAGGGACTGGGGGAATGCTTGGTTTAGCTGGCTTGGTAAAACCCAAGAAGCCCTACTGGCTTGTGAAGTGGAGCAAAAGGAAACAACAAAGGGAGGTTGCTTCCATATAATATGGCTGTTCAGACAATGTGCTATTACTTCGCCCCAGCCCTGGCTGGGTTTCTACCAGTTCTCAGGGCAAAACTGGCTCAGCTGGACCTTTTGTGGCTGACCTCAGTGCTGGTCAACCGCTATAGGCCCAGGAAGGTTTTGTCACATGGATCACCTTTCATGAGCTGAGACAGCTGCATAAGAGATGATCTGGCCATGGTTATCCATGCACTGATAAATCTAGGATAGATTACTGTAATATGCCTTACATAGGGCTTTCATAGAAAACTGTACAGCTACACTGAATTCAGGAAACATCTGCCAGAGTAAAGGAGAAAATGATGCCCCATCCATCCATCCATCCATCCATCCATCCATCCATCCATCCATCCATCCATCCATCCATCCATCCATCCATCCATCCATCCATCCATCCATCCATCCATCTCTTTCTTTATTGGGCATTTATATCTATCTTTCTCTCACAAATAGAAGTCAAAGCATATAATACCACAAACTATCCCATTTATATGTAAAAAAAACAACAGCAGGCCATATTATAATCCCTGGCAGTAAAAAATTGCAGTAACTAACTGACCAACAATTTGCCACTCTTAATGGTTCTCAAAATCTCTCTTTGAGCCATTCGCCTCAACCTACCTAATAGTGGAACTGGCTCTACTGTGGCCCCCAAGCATCTGAAGGAATGCCAGGTCCACGATCAGAGCCCCCAGAATCCAGAGCAGCCTTATAGCTGACTTCAAAACACAAGCAGGCCTTACAGATCAACCAATCAGTTATTAGCGTCTGAGGTGAAGTTGGTACAGTGAAGAGGAAAAAAGGCCCTTTGTAATGGTGGTCTCCTATATATAGATAGTCCTCCCCCAGTCCTGCTCAGACATTCCTCCAGCACCAAGCATATATCTTTCACTGCTCTCAATATCTTTTAAACTGTGGGCATTAAAACTTTTCATTCTCATGGTGCTTTAAATTGAAGGTCAAATGCCCTGTTGTGGTTAGACTCTGTTTTCTTGTGAACCATTTTATGAACCATTCAGTTCAAGGAATGTGTAAACCCACTGAAATAAATAAATCAGTGCATGGACAAGTAATTTTATCAGAGAGAAATGCCAAGAATACCCTATGTCTGCATTTCCCACCTTCTGAAATAATAAATGTACTAATAAAGTTCAGATAATAAGAGTTATTTTTTGCAAAACACATCTCATGGAGCAACATACCTGTGGAAGGAAGAAGACACAGTTGACAGTGACAAATGTCCGATGTTCTATTTGACTGGCTACTACAGAGCCTTTGCACAAACCTGTTTCCTAAGGGGAAAAAAAGGAGTAGTAGAGCATGAGAATGTGCTAACATCCTGAAGTGGTTTGCTTCTTAAGCCACTTCACAATATGGGCAAATTCATACCAGAAGGCTTGCTTTGTAGCAGTTCCAGCAATCAAACATGCTGAAACCAATCCAAACCATTGTGACCCACACCAAAAAAAGAGAGTAGAAGTCAGAAAAATAAGGCTGGGGCCGCTCACGAGGCAGGCTGGTTTGCTCCAATAGTGAAATATGCCTTGGAGAACATATAAAAGAAGCAAAAAAATGAGAAGTTTCAACTAAGATGAGTTTCTGAGCAAGGGAATTAATACTCACTGCTGTTTCAGGTGGAAGGAACGGGCATGTAGAGATTTCAGACACAGACTTGCTTTTAGAACAGGATGTCTCCTGGATGGTAAATTCCACAAACTTGGCAGGACCAACAACCCACTGTGGAAAGTTTTCAGGCAAAGGGTTAAAACATTTGCATTAACTGCAAAAGCTACCATTTTATAGTCTGTTAGCCACAGCTCTGCCTTCAACAATATAGGTATAATAGTAATAGATTTTGTCTGCATTTATCGAGAGGGTGTTTTTAAAAAAAACATATTTATAATCTCAGAAGAATAAACAATTGTAATTAAATTTGCATCTCTTGGCATGCAGGAACATTTTTTTCTTTAAGGGGGTCAATCTTTCTCTAATAGAAAGCCTACGGAACCAGTTCATGCACCAAGAATGAAAGGCAATGATTCCATGATATACTCAAGAGAACTGCACTACAGGGTGGTATATAAGCTGGGGGGAAAAAACAACCAACCAACCGACCGACCGACCGACCAAATGACCAAATGACCAAATGATCAATAGATAATAAATAAATGTGAATTTTAAGAATAGAGCCTTTTGTTGTGTTCTTTTTATTTGGGCTTTCCACAGTTGTAATCCTTCCTTTGCAATATACTGAAGAATAGCAACAAAATCGACTTCAGGAAGAGTTAATAGACCTCCCACTTTCGTTGCCCAGATGGGACTTATACAGCAGGCAGCCCATAAGATGGGCAGGAAGTTGTGCTTAAAATGTTCTTACTTGACAATACAGAATAATTGACATCTGGCACAACCAAAAACATAGACTTAAAAGCATAAGACCTGAGCGACTGGTTTTTGGATGTACTTTGCCTTTTTAGTAACAGTTAATTGTGGCTACCTAGGGTGACCATGTATAAAAGAGAACAGGGCTCTTGAACCTATAATACTTACGTTGAAGAGAGGATTTCAGGCATTGTCCTTTGTGTGACAAAGCACACCTGTTGAAATTTCCTTTTCGCTGTTGTTCTGTGCTGTCAAGTTGGAGTCAACTTATAGCAAATCTGGGAGGTCTCTCCTCATAAGTGAGATATTTAAGGAGTGGTTTTACCAGTTCTACTCTCCTAGTGAGATTCCATAGTTCAGATTTGAACCAAGCCTCCAGAGTTGTAGTCCAACGCTCTGCCCACTACACCACACTGGGTATCCCTTTTCTAGAAAGCTTCTAGAGGTGCACAAGCCCGGTTTCATATCTGGCCACGCTCTTGCAATTAAAGGTCATCAAGGCCTCTCCTCCACAAACGTCTCTTTTCTAAAAGGAAACGGAGCTGCTTTATCTAGTGTCCCTGTTCAACCACATCCAATCCAAGCTTACCTGCGAACTCGCCTTGGTGACATTGAGGAGGGCAAAGTAGTGTCTGTGATTGTTTTCTGCATTGAACTTTGCCAGAGTCTCAGCAGCTGCCTCTTGAAACTTGGTTTCCGTTGGGTCACCAGGGGTTGGACAGTCAGGGCACAGCCTTGCAATAGCTACTGAAGAAACTGTTAAGGGGGAGAGAAAGCACCTGACACAACAGCAACTAAATCCAGTTTCCTGAATTCAGTGCCCTCCAAAATGTATTGCAGAACAGGTCCCAGTATCCACAGTCATCATGACTATTGACAGAACTTTATGTCAAATAATACCACACAGAACTGACAGAGACCACAGTCTTTATGCTAAATTTACTTGTAATTTTGTTTAAAAAATGATTGATTGATTGATTGATTGATTGATTGATTGATTGATTGATTGATTGATTGATTGACTGACTGACTGACTGACTGACTGACTGACTGACTGACTGACTGACTGACTGACTGACTGACTGACTGACTGACTGACTGACTGACTGACTGACTGACTGACTGACTGACTGACTGACTGACTGACTGACTGACTGACTGACTGACTGACTGACTGACTGACTGACTGACTGACTGACTGACTGACTGACTGACTGACTGACTGACTGACTGACTGACTGACTGACTGACTGACTGACTGACTGACTGACTGACTGACTGACTGACTGGTTGGTTGATAATGTTTTCTACCCCACCTTTCTGCTAAGAAAGGACCTAAGGTGGCTTACAGCACTAAAACTCAACTGTTAAAGTCAAAAACAGTGAATCATTCAAATATTAAATGAATTAATAATGACATTATATTAAGACTGTTAGGTCAAGCATTGATAAAGAGACATGTTGAAGTAACAAAATGCAAACCGTCTCATTTTATAACCTCTCCTAGACAATCTATCTCTAAGGAAAAGAGAAAGGTCTTCGCCTGCTTGTGGAAGGACAGCGAAGATGGGGCCAGTCGTTCTTCCCATAGGAGGGAGTTCCAGAGTCTGGGAACAAAGGCAGAGAAGGCCCTATCCTGTATCCCGGGAAATAGTTTTATAAAGCCAGTGGATAGCTGCAGTTTGGTCTGCAAAGTTTTCAAAGGATTCTCACTCCCAACTCTGATGACATCTATTCACCTGGGGATTGGATGTGGTTGAGAAAAATCATCTCTCCCCCTCCCCCCAAATAAAATGCAAAGGGAATCCATCTTTTACTGTCCTGCCTTGGGGGAATCCTGCTATTATTGTTGAGTACTAATTGGAAATCACGGTTGAGTCTCTCTCTCTGTTGATATGTGTGTGAACCACTCTTATCTTTCATCATTTTATGAATGGGAGATTGTGTAGGTGACTTTTCTTTCAGTCTTCTATTCAGGCTAACATGTCAAAATACATACGTGGACGTAAGAGGCAGTCGTAGTTATAGAGAAAACTGAATTCACCGCTCCTGGTGATACGAAGGGTGGCTTTACACTGCCCGTAGACCTAAAAGAATAGAGTGGAAGTCAGTATTTATAGAAAGGTCACCTTTACCTAGAATGGCATGTTACCTATAACAGAAGCCTTTTATCTTTTCCAGACCTTTACTCTTAACTATCAATGCAAAATTTACTTTTAAAAAACACGGTGTATTTTACTTTTATTATGTTCCTTATATTTCCCTCTTTCCAACTTTCTATTTTGCCCGCTCCCTGTCCCTCTGCTTCTTCCTGTCAGAATGAGATATCAAACACAAGCAGCTACTGTGCAAGCCAGGGACTTCACACCCCCATAAAAGCTTGGGAAACTTTCTATCTTTCCTGCATTATTACACAAAGCTTTTCTTAGAAACAGAATTTAGTTGGAAGGGGCTTATAAGGCCATTGAGTTCCAACACTCTGCTCAATATTCATATCAAAGTGTTGCATGATTTAAAAATATGGATGTATGTGAAATATAGGTAAAATTAAAAAGAAATTACAATGTTAAGATAATTAGACTGTTTTTGACCAGACGTGGACAACTTCACGAAGGGAATCTCTGTCACTGCTCTACAGCATCTATTCTGCATGCTGTCCATTGTCTCTTTTTGTGTTGCAAGGATTTTTGTACTGCAATTTCCATGTGCTTCCCATTACCAGAATTTACTATGAATTATCTCTAATGCAGGTCAGAATCTGGACATGTCCTTTTTTTGGAATACAACTTTCAGAATCCTCAGGCTTCCTAAGAGATTCATCGAATTATGGGGAAAGAAAGAAAGAATATAAGGGGGCAGTATATAAGCAGCACATATAAGTGTGCTGCTTATATACTGCCCCATAGCATTTAAAACAATCTCTAGGCAATTTACAATTTAATTATGCAAGCTACACATTACACCCGCCCTGGCAAGCTGACTATTCAATTTACCAATCTCAGAGGGATGGAAGGCTGAATGAACTTAGAGCTAGCTACCTGGATTGAACCACAAAGTTTTGGCCGCAGTACTGCAGTTTAACCACTGTAACAGAAGGAAGGAAGGAAGGAAGGAAGGAAGGAAAGAGCTTTAAAGTTCTGATTCATGCATATGCATTTGAAGTTGCATATCAAAGCTGCACAATGTAAAGGTATGTGCATACACTCTATATGGAAAAAAAACCCTGATGTATAAATATTTGCCATTTTATCTCTCTCTTATATCTGAGGCAGTGGATTTGTCCAGGAAAGCTTACATTAAAATATAACAGTCTTTAAGGTGCCACCACATGTTCATCTTTTTTATTTGTTCTTTTCTTTTTCTTTGGTTTTTACTTATCAAACTATAAACATGAGTGTGAAGGCACCAAACCCATTTGTACACCAGTTTAGGAATTCAGATCTTGATAATATGGTGGGCATCTTTGGGTCTCCTTTGATGAAACTTTTTCCAAAGCCTTACTTCTTGGTCAAGAAAGGTGTCCATTTGCTGAATGAGGGTGATTAAAATACTTACTGTCTCATGTTGCGGTCTTGACTCGCAGTTTTTCCATGATTTCCTACTCAGGACATGACAACTGGTTTCCAACACATCCAAAGTGAGGTATAAGATAGAGCTATCAGGCCCCTGCGGATGAGAAGATGGAATACTTTGCATCACAAAACATATCAGACTTTGAAATGTTTACTTGGCACCTGCTATCAGAATCTGATAAGGACACCTGACCTCCCAATAAGAGTTTGTAATCTCTTTCTATATTTATAGTCTAGTAGGCTCAAAACAATTTCATATGCTTTTAAAATGTGTCCTTTGAATGAGCTCCTTTCTTTTTGATTCAAATCTGACTGAAGTTCTTATCTGGATAGTTACAAGCTTATCACTGAGATGTATTTTCTGACTTAAGTATTTTTCCAAAGCTCTGAGTTCAGTTCTGATAGATTTTTAAGGCTATAGTTTTTTCCTTACAGCTGTAACAGTGTCTGATATTTTTTGGATTTGCTGTTTTTAAGCACGAAACCTAGAAATGATGTAAATAAACAAAATTCGTACACAATTAACAATTTTTGGAATCGCCTGGAATTCTTGCAACAAAAGAAAACCTTATAATGAGATAACTCTATGTATTTGGCAATGCTTGTCACTGATTGTCTATTTCATTCTGAGATTACCCATTACTGGCCTAATGTCAGCTATGATGGATCATAGAATCTGTTCTTTGCCTGGGAGGTCTATAAATCTCTGTAGGACTTCTTGGGAGTCAGGTATCCTTATTAGGTTCTGACACCACCACCTGGATCAGGTCACCTGGAAGAAAGGTAGTACTGTTCCATTTGTGTAAATGTTATAACTATAGGTAAAGGTAAAGGTTCGCCTAGAGTGGTCTTTTAGGCCAGATGGGCAGGGTATACTGT